GGTGGCCTGTTTGTCCGCATAGGACACATGCGATTGGAGATTCGGCGTTTTTGGGCCGAGGGCACTCTTTCGAGTGATGGGTTCTAGGCACTTAACGCATCTGGGTGGGGCTGAGCAGTTGGCTGCCGCGTGCCCATAGAGTTGGCAGCGGTCGCACTGCGCTGGGTAACCGCGCCGGTGTGGGGCTTCGACCTTTACACGCGACAGGCCGCACACAGTGCGTACCTCACGGAAGATGGCCTTCGCCTCCGGCACATTGGTGAGAACGAGGAGGGCGAGGTTAAATCTCTCGCCCCTGCTGCTGTGCATCTTGTGCACATCCTCTATGGGGAAGCCTTAAGGTCTTCCAGAATGTCCTTCATAAGGAACTCCGCGGAGGACCGCCTTGATTTTTCTTTCTTCGGCGAGAGCATATGTGTGACACACGCTCGGCCGTGAAGAGACGGGTTATATTCCGGAAGTCTTCTATAGACGCCGGCATTATTTTGATGGCCTCGCCGACATTGGTGGCTTGGTCATATTTGAAACCCTTATCGTAGAGGGTTTAGGACAGCTGTGTAAACTTCGCCTTGGCTCTGAGAAAGACAGGGGGCGGGGCTTGGCTTTTAACCAGTTTGGGAGCGCAGCGTGTTGCTGGCTTGGCGGTAGTGTCTTTCGACTGAGAGGCGGCAGCGTTAGAGGCTGCGGAAGTAGAGGCAACGATAGGGGCTGCGAAGGTTGAGGCAGCGGCGGAGGGTGCGCGGGCGGCGGCGGCGGCTGCCGGGGCAGGGGGAGTGCGGGAAGTCGCGGCGCGCTTCGGGCCGCGCTTGGATTTCAGTAGCGTGAATTGGGTTGTATCGGTGACCGTTCCTTCGGAGTCGGATGACTCGGAGGGGCCGGTGGAGCTGAGGGCGGTCCTCTTCCGGGAGGAGGAGGTAACGGACGTGGTGTCCGAGTGCTCCATATTGGAGTCGGGGTACGCGGGCGAGTCGGTCTGCGGGGCAGGCGCTTGGGTCGCGAGGAAAGCCGCGACGGCGAGCGGGGGTACGCATGCCTTAGGGGCAGGGGGAGCGAAGAAATTAGAGACTTGGCTGATGGTGTTCTCGTCGACATCGTAGGCTATGCCTTGGGATTGATAATACTGAGCGATCGCGGCCGAAATGGCGCGTGCAATACCATGTTTCATGTCTATGGTAGACATGTTGGTTTGGACAGAGGGGGGGGGGGGCTGACGTTTATTCAGGGAAGCACTTGCTCTGGGAAGAACGACGCCTTGTCCTCAACAGGACAAGGAACGTTTTTCCAGAACACTAACTATGTGCAGGTAACAAATTAAAATAACAATAATATAAAAATAACAAACAAACAGTAACAGAATAGTAACAAAAGAACAATAGAGGCACAGCGCGCTCAGACCTCCCCGCCGAAGCGAGGGGGCAAGAACGGTGCGAAAAAACAAGTGACTCACCTACGGCGACTGCTCAGCCGGTGTGAGCGAGGCGCGCGGACGAGAGGTTGCACTACCGCACCAGGACGGAGCGCGGACTGAATGCACTACCGCTCGGGGGGCGATGCGCAGACAGAACTCGCCCGATGTTCCCAAAGCGGCGGGTATTTATACACTAGTAGCGATGACTCATTAGACGATTGTCTATACACTACATCTCTTCCTCCTACATCCATTCTCTTCTGTTTCCTTGCTTGATCAATAGTTGATTTTTCTGTTACAAAAATAGTTTAAATTAGTCTTTAATAATCATTCTAATTTCATCAGTGTTATTCTCTATTACTTACTTCTTGATTCAAATTGGGTAAACTTTCTTCTTGTTCATCATTAACTACTCTCCACTCTTATTCAATATTTTTAAGTGAACTACATTTCGTCGATACTGTTCATTTGTATCATTATTGCGAATCACTACGTCTCCAGTGTTGTTAGTAGTTTTTACAACAGTATGTATGGCTGGAGAAAAGCTTGCCTTACTGCAGCGATTTCGGAATCCTGCTTGGAAAATTGTTCAATATCGTTGAGCGATACGGTTACGGGTCTTGAGTATTCAATTATATGCCTGATATGTTCCTCATCAAAATTACGTATTGTATTCACTGAATTATGTTTCTAAGTAAAGTCTTGAAAGGGGGTCAGCTATATTCGATTTACCTGATCGGTACACTATTTTGTAATTATAGGCCAATCAAAACCCATCTTTCGATTCGGGCGCAAGGCTTTAGACCTTCTTCCGAAAATAATTTCTAATGGTTTATGATCGCTTATCAGTTCAAACTCGCTTTTACCATTAAGATATATTCGAAAATGTTCTACAGACCATACTAAGGCTAGCGCTTCCTTTTCAGTTTGGCAGTAGCGCTTTTCACAGTCTGTTAAACTCTTATTTCCAAATGCTATTACTCAAGGTCCTTTTGAATAAATTTGGATAAGTACCGCCCCTAACCCAACAGGACTGGCATCGGCAATAACTTGGGTCATGTCTGCCGGATCATAATATCCTAATGACTGCATATTGCATAGAGCTTTCTTCATTTCGTAAAATGCGTTTTCCTGGTCTGTAGTCCAAAATTTTCCAATGTCGGCATTTTTTCCCAGCTTTAGTCTTAGTATTTTCCGGAGCGGCTCAGTGAGTGTCACCAAATTTGGTATCCATTTCCCAACAAAATTTACTAACCCCAAGAAGAAACTTTGTACTTCCTCGATAGTTGATGGTGCTCTAAACATTCGGATACTGTCAATGTACTTTTTTAAAGGTCTTACACCTTCACTATACACTTATCATTGTTTAACAGAACATTGTTCTCTTTCAAAATATTTAGGGTCCGTTGTAATCTTTGATCATGCCTCATTTGATCCAAAAATTACAATATCGTCAATAAAATTTAATGTACCTTCACACTGTATAAGAGTGCGTTCCATGATTTTCTGAAACATTTCTGGGGCACAGGAAATACCAAACATAGGTCTCTTGTATCTAAATAACCCCTTGCTAGTTATAAATGTAGTGATGTATCGGGTATCCGGATGGATTTCGATTTGGTGGAAAGAGTTTTTAACGTCGAGACGAGAAAATAAATTCGCATTTTTAAAATGTAGTAGCAGCTGGTCCATTGTTGGTAGTGGATGATTTTCGCGAATTATTGCTGCGTTATCTCTTCGCATATCGGTACAGATCCTAATATCCCCATTGTCTTTTAAAACAGGCACAATAGGTGAAACCCATTTTGATGGCTTAGATACTTCTTCGATAATATCAAGCTCCAATATTTCTTGATTTTTTTTATTAACTTTTGATTCTAGGGGTATAGGTATTCTCTTGTAAGGCTGACTTACTGGAGTTATTTTCTCATCAATAGGTATCTCGACAACAACATCTTTAAATTTTGGAAATACTGCTATATTTTTATGTGATGTGGACTCGACGGCGCTTACACTGACACCTAATTGCAGAACGCCCAGTGCTAAGGACGTTACTTTCCCCAAGATATCTTTAGTGCAGTTTTTTATCACATAGAAAACAGCAACCTCAATTTTGTCATACAAACCAAAAAGTCTATGCTAGTGATTTACTAAAACATCCCTGGACCTTCGCTTTAGTAAATCTTGGACCATCACCAATAAGTGTCCATTGCTCCTGGACCATCTCATTGGAGTGTCCATTTGATTTTAACAAAGATAAATCACGACAACTCAGCCTTTAATAATTTAAACAGTTTTCTGGTACCTAAAGCATGTCCATGACTGGACCTTTGCTTTAGTAAATCTTGGACCATCACCAATAAGTGTCCATTGCTCCTGGACCATCTCATTGGAGTGTCCATTTGATTTTAACAAAGATAAATCACGGCATAAACAAACAATTAAACAGTTTTCTGGTACCTAAAGCATATAAAGTTCTTGCATTGCTGTGTTCCGGTCTAAAGGGTATAGGGTCGGTATGACTACATGCTTAAGACCTTATCTGTGAATCTGTATGATCTGAGTATCTGTGATATATATATATATATATATATATATATATATATATATATATATATATATATATATATATATATATATATATATACAATAAGTTACAAAAACCCTGCGGTTCCCGTTAAGTGTGTTATCAGAATCAGTATCCTCGCATGTAGAAATCATTTTTTTTTTCAAAAAACACATTTAAAATAATTAGTTTTAATGAAAAAAAAAATTCATTTGCAAATTGTATGTGGTTTTATTTCCTCTAACTCACACGAGTGTCGGTACTGTGGGGTCTTTGACAATTCTCTTACTTCTCGGCCAATGCAGAGATAATCCTATACCTTTAAACGAGCAATTCTTGTATATATATATACTAATATCGGGGGAACTACTAAATAAGAAATTAGAATTTCAAAACAATTATACAGTTACGGAAAATATATTAGGATTTTAATCCAGGACCTGACAATATGACCTCTTATGACCTCTATTCGCAGCGTAGACAGAGAAACCTATAGACAAATTGACGCCTTCTTTCGCATTCGCACACGAAAAAGATAGATTAATGCAAACGTCTTGCATAGAAATGAGATAGAGCGGTGTGATTGTTTGTCCCTTTCTCCTCGGGTTTAGCTAACTTTACTCTAAACAACTTTAACAGCGTAGCGACTTAAGGAGTTTACAAGTTGGTTTAAGTGAGAAAAAAGTGTTTTGTGAGCTTAAGATTGGTGAATCTTGTTCAGTTCAGTTCTTAGAACAATTAATTTTTTTTTCTAAATGTGTTTAAAAGTCATAAAGATTATTGTATAACCTAAAAATTCGTTATCGTCCTTTCTCACTCGAGGCCACGCCGATCATTAGTCTATAGGTTTCTCTGTCTACGATTCGCAGTGAGTCTGCTTCAGTGCTTCTATATGCATGTTTGGAAATAGTCTTGAAGAACATAGCCAAATAAAATTACCTTTATAGTGATAAATTATTTTAACTTGAAAAATAAACGGCTACATTATTCTCAATAGTATTACGAATTATAATATTTTATTTACAGAAAACGCAAATCTAATTGCGAACAAGCTGCCCTTCAAGTGAAACTTAAGGTACTGTAAAACGCATATAAATTAAAATTATGGATATTTATAGTAAAAATGTATTCTTTACAAATTAAATAAAATGTTTTAAAACAAATATATAGTTTTATTTTATAAGTAATATCTTTCAAGGTTTGCTTTCACTTTGGGCCCATATTAAGCATGTTAATGGCGTATGAAATACAACAATCGCATTTAGTCTCATATCTGTCGTTTTAACGCATCCGACAAATTCTCAAGTGGACGTCTTGAGAGGAAAAATTTAGGTGTGGATATTTAATAAAAAATTATTATTTAATAATAATAATTGTAATTTCAGTATCATAGAAAATTATTCTAAAACTGACTAGCATCAAAACTATTTCAAATCTTTATCTTTAGAGCAAAAATATACGACAATATTGTAATATTCTCATTGTCTGAAAAAGTATATTTTTGATGAAAAGCTGAAAGATGAGCAGTAAAACTTAGCAAGGTCAAAGACTGGAAGCCTAACATACTCGTGTCCGCCGTAAAGGATTTTACATGAAAATACTTACGTTGATGATATCAAGGCTATAGGAATCTTCAGCTTCGATACCAGTCCTATTTCTGTCACTAGACAAAAGTGCACGCAATGCTCTTTTGGCTGAGATGGGCGAGCTGGTGTTAACACTGTGGCATTCCGTCTTAGCTCTTAGAAGTGGCTACACATGTAGCGTTGTTAGCCTTTCACACGGCCTCCCCAAAGTAAAGCCACAAACCACGGTTCTATAAGCCACCTGCATCCATTGACTAGGTCGTCACTCCATCTTGTGGGGGCTGCCACTCTGGAACCTTTTTTCCCCTTTTTTCGTTTCGTAAACATATTGCAATCTAATTCGTGTATAATTAAAATTTAGATAAGGGATGGAGCGATGGAGTATCATATTTCACCAAGAACTTCGCTTTTTAATTATATTTACTATGAGAGCAGGTATAACAATAAACACATTAAAGGGGGTACGTAACGATATATTTTTAATACATTACGTCGGATAGAGATATGACATAAAAGTGCGCGCTCTTCGCTTCTACCATTATATAGAAATTATCTAATTAATTACACAAAATTAATAAATTATACAAAATTAAATATTATTAAAAATAATATAGATAGTAAATGCGGTAATAAAAATTCAGTTTTAAGGTTTTTAAATCCATCTGTGATTTCGATGCCATTTTCTGGCAAGTCTCAATTATTAAATTCTTTTAAAAAATAATTTTGTAAATAAGTAAAATTGATTTCTGATTATGGTAATTACTGTAAATAAATGCAATTGAATGTTTCTACATAAATAGTACTTTAATATTGTTACAAAACATTTAATAAACTGATTGACAGTTTGAATTCAAGTTATTGACGTCGTAATTGAAAAAGTTTGAAATGACGAGATGATTAATAATCTGAAATTTGTTTCAGAATAATGTAGATGAACCATTAACTTATTTGACGAGTTTTAAATCAATAAAAGATTAATGAATTGGAAGCAACAATCAATGTTGACTTCGCTGAGTCTTAAAGATAATTTGGTATTAAAAACTAATGCATGTGAATAAGGCACGAATGTTGGCTAAATTCTTATTATTTGTGCAACGTATTAGACATAAATACAGGCTGACATCACGATCAGGCGCAGGACCAACGGCTTTACGTGCTTTTCGAGGCATGGGGGTGAGACACCGCCAACTTCTTGACTCCGGGCAGCTACTGAGAATTTCTTGACAGAAAAACTCAATAATTGATTGAATAAAACTAAATTTACGGATTTTATCGCGTTTATTTCACTACTTTTACTTATTTTTAATTCCCGACGTTTCGGGTGCTTTACATCACCCATGGTCACGGGGGGGGACTGAGATGTTTTGCGTCCCAATGTCATAGTTAGTCCGGCTACCTTCAGTTATTGAATATTAATTTTTGGTCCGATTTACGCAAAACGAGCTTATAGTATCATGAAGTCTTGCAGTGGTATGATTAGGTTTGGGTTTAATTTTGTTAATTATAGGATCCCAAGCAGGTGGCAGCACCCATCCATCTTCTCTAAAAATTTATTCAATGTGTAGTGTTCGCGTAAATTTAAGAAATCATCAATAATTGATTTTTTGGCCCGACCCGGGATTCGAACCCAGGACCTCACGATCAGCAGTCGCACTACTACAACCACTAGACGAACGAGGCAGTCTTTATTTAGTGTTGGTTGTTCTAAATAGTTGTTAAAGCAACATACGGTAGGTACATCAAATAATAATAGTGAAGTAAGATCATTAACGTTCGTTAAATTAAAAAAAAACGTTTCATGCATTCAATTGTTTGGGAATAAAATGACGTTAACCAATGTAACCTACCAGGTAAAGCAACGGTTATCGTAATTGTTATAATCTAATGTACGTTAAGAGTCAACATTTCGTGAAACTTCAGTATACTATAATAGTTTGATGATAGTATGCGCCACTAACGTATACGCGTGCGCCTAGTATAGGTGAAACAACTCGTCATTAAGGATATATTAGAAAATCGAGCGGATGTGTTGCCTGTAAATGAATTTAAAATAAAATATGGGTTAACTAAACACGTAAGACATACATAAAAAATATAAGTAAACGGAAAAAGAGCCTTGAAAAATATTGTTACGGTTACGATTGGTAGCGCACAAATTATTTGGGATAAAACCGATGGGTTATCCTTTTAATTTATTTGATATTTAATGGCTCATCTTGTATCGTGTATCGAAGAAGTGGAGTACCCGCGATGGTTACATACATACAAAAAATCTTAATGTTAATTATTATTTGATTGACAACATCAGAAATGAAGTCTCTCTTATAAATTTTCGAATTTATAAATTGTTATTTCTAAGAATGCCATATAAAATAATTACTCATATTTGTAATATATTAAAAAATAATTAAAATAAAGTTAGATTCAGACATATTTAGAAATAGATATACTATAAAAATTACACAGAGCCTCTTCACCACTTTTAAATAAAAATATCTGTAAATTTTTTTATGGTCTAAGTAAATCTCTCCTTATTTAGTATATTTAAGGTTCGGAAATTAGTTTGTAAAATATATAGGTAAACGTTATTTAAGATTAAAGCTCAAAATACTAAAAATAGATAAAGTGGTGAAATATGGCGAAATACAGATAAATAATATTTTATAACATTCTCATTGCATGAGAAAGCAGATGTTTCAAAATGGGCCAGGTTTATGTACACTACCTCAAAAAAAAAAAAAGAGAAAAATCTCTGGAATTCGGGAAAATAGAGATAATTCATTTAAATGTATCCTGACGTGGTAAGCAATTGATGTTTATTAATTATTTTTGTCGACTCTCAACATGGCGTCTCAGCGATTTAGTTACTCTGTGCTTATAGACAATGACAGTAAACCATAAAGCGACCGTTGATTATAGAAAGAGAACTGTCAGTTGTCACAATAGTGTCAAAAAAACGTGAAATAAACATGTCAAACGTCATTAATCAAAGAAAAGACTTTTAAAAAGGTTTTTGTGTGTTGCAATTGCACGTGCAATTTCCTGTGCTTTGTAATTATAAAATAATTAGACAGTTGAGAACTGTTTAATTGTGTTTCCCTATTTTTGAGTACGGTGTACAAGGACCTGGCCCAGGCTCCATACATTTATAACATCTCATTTGACTATAGAATCAGTCTATTCAAGAAGTTGAGATATTAAGAGTTAGTAATTTATAACATCTACATAAAAGTATTTTTCTTTTATTTTTTTTTTAATAATTTCAACATATTAAATAAAATTAAACTCATAATAAGTTTTTGAAAAAATACCTAATTTTATAATAATATGTTATATTAGATGTCGTATAAATCACTAACGCTTATATTTGATAAATTAAATAAACTATACCAATATACAGTCGTTTTGAGACGACACTAAAACAAAACAACATTTATTAATAATGGTCATTAATAATAACAGTAATACAAAACCTAAACTTAAAATATAAAATCCACTTTCAGTGAAGTCTATGGTATAATACAATGGCATCACAATCACAGATGTTTTTAAAAACAATAAAACTATCGTACAAATCACGTTTTTTATAATAAAATAATAATAACAATTTAAAATCACAGGTATCTGACAGATCATTTCACTTAAAACTATAAGGAATCCAAAACGGCCGATGGAGCTGCTAAAATGTTGCATTTGTTTGTTCAATTCGCGATTCGGCAGAATGCGACATTTTAGTGTATAAACAGTTCCATCACACACTTTTAAAGACAGATCATACTGTTCCTTGTAAACTATGGCATCAAACATTTCTCTCACACGAGTATCTGCCCAATTAGTCCATCCTTTACATTTCCTATCGTACTGAACACATTGTCGCATCCCAGAGCCGTCCACATTTGTCATTGAATACAATGCCATAGTGTTACCAGTCAAAATAATACTGAAAATGAGCTGCCTTACAGAGAGCTTAAAATTAACAATAAATATGCAAATTAAATACAAACGATAGTGACTAATTACGCTGTTAAGTTGTGACAGCCGACGACGTAACTTAAGAGCTACGATATCAAGTAAATCAGTACCGAAAAAAAGCGGAATAACGTATGCAGCGAAAACAATATAAAATTCACGCGCTCTTATTACTATAATACCACAACGTACACGACCGCGTACGGACCCGTTGTCGCGTTTAATTTTAAATATGGAATGCGTCATAACCACGCATATGTGTTTTAGTTCTGCGCACGCGCATGACAAAGTCAAATATAATATGTACATCAGAACTGTGTTCGAATGTACGCAGAAAAACGACCTAACTACATACAATTGTGATATCTCGCGAGATACCTTTAAAAGTGATTCTACACACATTTTATTTAAATACACATACGTCATTTGAGCGCACGTTAAAGTATAAGTCAATTGTGACCAAATTACACTAATTTCTAATATGTCATTACGCCCACTACATAATATTACATTGACGAACATTGAAGTTAGAAATAGACACAGTTTGGTTGGGTTTACACTGGGTTTAGGGCGTGCGGGGTAGGATATAACAATTAAATGCAAAAGGGACAAAGAGAGAGGGTCCGCTTTTTCACCGTACTGACGTGGCTCTAAAGGTTAAGGGCAATGTTGTTTTTTGGGCTTCTTTAAGTGTTCCTCGTCGATTCCTGACTTCGGTACCTACGAACAATGATGTCTTAATGATAGTTTCAGTCCTTCAGTAAATTGCAAGTAAACTTCCTGGACTTCCCCGCACCCGGAGTTAGTAGTGTTTAAGTTTAATAAATTTAAACACTACTAACTCCGGGTGCGGGGAAGTCCACGTTCTCACACAATACCAGCGTAAAATGACATATTAACGCTGCTGTGTTTCGTATGTTGAGTGTAGAGAACCGGAGACCCTTTTAACTGGAAACGAAGTATTCTCTCTTAGACCTCACGGATGACCACGCATCTGTATTTTGATTAGTAATCGAGGATAGATGTAGATATCAACACAGACAGCAACCACTTACCGTCAGGTGGACTGTGTGCTCGTTTGTCACACATCCTATTAAAAAAAAAAAACTGCTCATCTCAATTGCATGTGTTTTTCTTTTCCGTGAGCTCAAGACTATTGGAGATGGACATTTCTAGAGAGGATTTGTTTTAATCGTCATACCTGGGTAGAATGATGATAGCAGTATCAGACGTCTTGTACCTTTGAGTTACTCCCCGCCGGTGGTCTATCACGCCCTGGCGTAAAGGGATTGTTATACCGACACCTATCTGAGGCCATTAGACTTTTTGGCATTTCACAGCATATACATATTGCAACATGCTAAATAGCGAACAAGTTTCTGGCGATTGACAAATTGCGGTATATCGGGTTACGCTTCGTTCTGCATTTACTATCCGTTTAATGATATCCAAAGTGCATGTAAAACCGTTTATGCATGGTTCAGAATAAGTAATTTAGGCAAATGGTGAAGAAAATTCAATTTAAAAAATCTCAAACATTCTGTCATTTGTATCTTTTAAATTCAAAATGTGTGGTAATACATTATTTTAATTAATTTCACCGCGCACGCACACATTAGTAAGCGTCGAGCGGTAGGCAAAAAATTGCCCATAAATCACATTCTATTTAGGATAATTTCAAATAAAAGTAGAAGCCTTATTTACTCGAGTTTCAAAAACGTCAATAACGGTATATCATTATTTATATATTTGAACTTAAGTTTTAAATTTGGCTACTCTTTGAAAAATAACCCTGTATAGCAAAAATTTGGCCAGTGACTTACGATTACGACGACTCAAAGCCTATTAAGAGTCCACCGCAGAGCACAGGTCTACCTACTTAAGGGTAGATATTGACACGGTTGACAACCGCAAATATTTATTTTAAGTTATTATTAGCAAAACATTGCTGTCCATCTCTTGTTTTGTTTCCCTCTGTCACGTCTAACCATAGAATACTATAATTACATACATAATAGAACGGGGAAGTGGGCGGAGCCCGTGTAACCATTAAAATGTCACTAATACGTCAATTCACACGTATAAATGTCAACACGAGATGGGTTTTGACGTTACAATCGTTTCCAAATTTCGCATGCAAATTATTTAGAAAATGCCACATTGCACGCTATTTACAAATAAATACGTATTAAAATCTGTCTGTCAACACAGCGAATCGGGTTGGTAGTAGTGATAATACTACGTAATTGCTTGTATGTGTGCTCCCGGCGACGCCTATCGTCGTACAAAATAAGGTTGACAGCCATTCTATTGTGTATTATAGTATTCTATGCCTTTAATAATACCCACAGGACGGTACAGAGTAGTGGGTGTGCTTTACATCGTCACAGTTGTTTAGGACGGTTACATTTTAATATTAACAATATTTGTTCATTTTCTTTACTAATTTTTGGCCTGATAAAAATCAACATTAATTTAGGAAATACTTAAAATGTCTATTGTTAATTCCACTAAATGACAATAAAAAAAAGACAATTATGGAGTATCTGAGTATCAGGGAGCACATTCGTGGGATCGACTATTGGTTGTTGAAATAGATTTTATATAAACTATTTATATAAAATATCTAAATCTAAAGCCGTTCATGGAAGAGCGCTGCTGTCTGAAACACAGATATTAAGTTATCTAGTTCAGACACAGATGTTCACTGAATTGTATTTATTGTTAAGCTGTATGTAACGTACCTCAGTATAACGCTCTCCTTTCAGCGACACAATTTTGTTATCGCGATAACGCACGAGTTTCTTCGGCTCAATCTTCGGAGCCAGTGGCTTGTGCTCCTTGGTTTCCGAGTTTTTGTCCACGTAGGAATATCTAAGACAAATGGAAAGCCACAGACATTGAGTTATGCAGAATGAATGTTTACATTGTAATGGTTAGGTATATAAATAAGGTACTTTTTTATACAGTTTATTAGTTTTCCTATCTGAAATAGACGAGATTAATAATGATAATGTACTTATTTTATTTTTGTATTTATTTTATTTTATTGATATTTATGTATATTTATCCTTTCATTTTCGTTTATAATTATATATTTATACATCCCAACCAGATGAGAAAACTATATAGATACCCCACACATAATGTACAAGCCAGTATTAACTGAAATTAGCCATCTGTGCGGTACATGATTACAGTGCGCAAGCACAGGTGCATTCTGTATTCCCTCACATTCATAGCCCGATGAGAGACTACAAGAGCGAGATCAGGCGCAGTAGCAACGGCTTTACGTTCTTCCCGAGGTACGGAGGTGTAATACCACCAACTTCCTGACTCCGGGCTGCTATTGAGTATTTTTTGTCAGAAAAACCCAATAACGGGTTTTGGCCCGACCCGCTATTCGAATCCGGAACCTCATGGTTAATAGTCTCGCTTACCACTAGTTCAACAAGCGATTAATATACCAACGAGTGAATAAGATACCTTCTTCTTGGGATTCTAGGTATAATTGTATAACGTAAGAGCCGTGATAGATCTAAGCGCTTGATGTGAATTTTATAATCAGTACCTGGACGACCGAGCTTCGCTCGGTATTTTTTTTTTTTTTTTGGAAATCGTGTGTTTTGGAAATTATATTTAGATACAAATAACATACTGATGAAATATGAATAATATTCTTTGATCTTACCGACATAATAGAAAAAAAACTTAACTGGTTATTTGAATAAAAAATCATAAGTGCGATAAGTTTAATTTAAATTTTCGTATTTAAAAGATACTAAAAAAAGTGCTCGAAATAATAGATTTTCTCACAAAAGAAGCGAACTTGAAAAAAAGGTAAAAATTTCGGACCAAAGACAGGACTCGAACCATGGTACTACGATTTCGGGACCGCCCGATATTCCATTTGAGCCATTATACTCATTAACGCATTGGAAAAATTTACCTTCTTAATCTAATGATATTGCAGCAGTTTTTAATTATTTGAAAACACGGATGAAACGACATTTTATAAAAGCCTAAGCCTAAGCCTAGCCTAGCTAGATCAATTTATTGCCCCCGAAAACCCCTGGACACTAAATTTTATGAAAATCGTTGAAACTGTTTCCGAGATTCCGATTATATATATACAAGAATTGCTCGTTTAAAGGTATTCGATAATACGCAAGCAACCAGGGTTTGATACGCATCAACACTAGTAACATTGTTAATTGTAATTTTAAGTGCTGATATACCAAATGCTCGGTGGTGATGGAAAATATTATGACGAAACCTGTGCGATGGCCGATAAGGCCCAAGCTAAATGTACACAATAAAAGTAATTCCAACTTGCGCTATATCATAATTCAGTTTCTTTGCTTAAATAAATTTGAACAAGTTTTTTTCGTGAAAATTATTTATTTTGTTTAGAGCATTATTAATTAGTTTAACTAATTTTTAATTAGGCAGCATTTAATTTTTAATTTTCTAAACAGAATAGAACAAAATAGCATTGCTATAATTTAAAATAAGACTCATTTAATTTTATAAACGTTTTAATGTTCTTTTAAATTTATTTATTTTCTTTTAATTACTTTTGTAAAAGAAACTTGGCTCACTGTAAATATAATTTTAAGATTTTTATTTCATAGTCTTATCATTTGATATATAATCAATATGTTTTTGATTACATATGTTAAGCTATATTATCAAATTTCAAATATGAAAAATAGATTTAATGTAGATTTAGTACATAGGTAAGAATATATACTAATGGTGATAGTTTGATAAAAATATGTTTGTATTATATTAAATAAATGGTTCAATTTGTATCAGAATTTTATTAACAAATCCTTATTAAAAAGCAATGAGTGAATGGAGGGAATAAAGTAAATGGGGCTCTAAACTCTATTGTGAAGAGTCAAAATGTGTCGAAAAAGGCACGTATTCACAATGCTGTGTTGGTCCCTACTTTAACGTATGGTAGTGAAAGTTGGGTGTGGCAGAAGAAGCACGAGAGTAGCATGAACGCAGTAGAAATGCGATCGTTAAGGAGTATGTTAGGGCTGAATCTGAATTCAGGGTTAGAAATTGTGTGATAAGAGAAAGGGTGGTTTGCAAGATGATGTGACTAGGATTAAGAAAGGAATGCTTCGGTGGTTTGGTCATGTGGAAAGAATGACAAAGAAAATTTATGTTGCGAAGTGAATGGCAGAGTCGGAAAGGGAAGTCCTAGGCCAAAATTTACCGACCAAATTGGCGATTTATTGAAAACGGGCCAAATTAGGAGTACCCTTAACCAACGAGCATGTGTGCGTAGGTATATGGATGTGAAGGAGGCGAGAGAGGTGTGTCAGGATCGTGCGAAATGGAAGTCTGTAGTCTCTGCCTACCCCTCTGGGTGACAGGCGTGAGTGTTTATGTTTATGGTATTATTTTTATGTAATTTTTAATTGCATTGGTGACATGAAGAAATACCCCATATCATCCCGAGTGTCGTAAGAGACGTCATAGGGAGCATCATCCTGATAACTATACAAAATAAAAAATAAACTGCTATTGCCAATTGGGAAATATCCTTCTCTTAGGGGAAGGGAAGGCCAATGTTCAGCGGTGAATTTTTCATAGGTTATGGTCATATTTAGTGTGGGTACGACCCACATGGTCATTCACCCCCTCTATACGCCAACGAAAAGTGTTGTAGAGGGTGTTGCTCACCGTGCAATGATGCGGCTCTTGATCTCGCGGTCGTCACACAGCGGATGGCGGGCGGCGGCGTGCAGCGCGGCGGCCGACAGCGCCTAGCCCTGCTCGCGCCGGTGCAGCAGCGTGGCCGCATATAGAGGGTGTGGCTCACCGTGCAATGATGCGGCTCTTGATCTCGCGGTCGTCGCACAGCGACTGGCGGGCGGCGACGTGCAGCGCGGCGGCCGACAGCGCCTAGCCCTGCTCGCGCCGGTGCAGCAGCGTGGCCGCATATAGACGGTGTCGCTCACCGTGCATGATGCTCTTATCTCGCGGTCGTCACACAGCGGCTGGCGGGCGGCGGCGTGGAGCGCGACGGCCGACAGCGCCTGGCCCTGCTCGCGCCCGTGCAGCAGCGTGGCCGCATATAGAGGGTGTGGCTCACCGTGCAATGATGCGGCTCTTGATCTCGCGGTCGTCGCACAGCGGCTGGCGGGCGGCAGCGTGCAGCGCGGCGGCCGACAGCGCCTGGCCCTGCTCGCGCCGGTGCAGCAGCGTGGCCGCAGCGCGCTCCGGATCTCCGCGGGCGATCGTCACGCAGTGCTTTATCTGAACACAACCGCAGATTTACGTTTCTTTTTTGCGACTTGGGACGTACTTATTGTAACAGGAAGAAGCAATATGTTTCTACTTCAAAAAAGGATGAAGAGAATCCATCATCCCTTCTCATAACAATAAAAAGATACCTTTGCTTCTTTTTTCTTAATTCCATAATTTATTAATCAGAGTAATGCTGCTGTTTTTCGTATGGTGAGTGTAGATAACCGGAGATCCCTTTTACTGGAAATGAGGCATTTCATCTTAGGCCTTACGGGTGACAACGCATCTGCATTTTGTTTCGTAATCGAGGATACATGTAGGTATTTATAGGCCACAGCAACCACTTACCATCAGGTGGACTGTGTGCTCGCTGCTCGTTTGTCACCCTATCTTATATATAAAAAAAACATGTAAAGTCCGCCAACACGTATTGGAGCGGCGGACAAATTGCATAATCGTCTCAGAAATGAGGAGGTCTATAGGCGTCGCATTGCTAAACACAAGCATATAACTTTACATTTAAAAGTCAGTAATGAAATTAATCAATGTTCGATTATCCAAAGAGAACGAAAGAGTTTGTTGTGTGTTTGCTTAACGTAATTCACCTCCATGGCACAGGTGTTGGGAAACATCTCGTGCAGGGCGCGACATTGTTCAGCGTACTCTTCGCTGTCGAGCAATGGCCGACGTCCTTCTGTGCTCTCGGAGCTCTCAGAGTTTGAATGGGACCTGCATATTGAAAGCATGAAAAGTTGGCTTAATATGTATAATTATAAAATGTTAATGATGCTATGATGAGTATTACCAAAGAAAGCGTTTATGAACTTCCGAAATGTACATCAATATTTAAGGGCTCCTTGGCATAGAGACAAGACAAGAACAAGTATTGGAATTACCTACAAATAATTGTTCTGGGCCTGAATGTTGCGTGGCTGGTGGTTCTTTATAAAATCAATACTAAATAATGATGTGACTACGTAGCACAGGTGATGATAAATTTTCTACACACAACGTCGATAAATACTAAATAATCAAGTTGTAATGCGATGTAAATAAGCAAAGGTGTTGCTGTCTAAAAATAGACAGGTCTTCTGTCCTTGTGACTCATCATCATTATAGCCCACCAAAGGCTGTAAGTAGGCCATCCTTCCACATAAATTTTCATAAAGTACGGTTTTGATTCTGAGCTATCTGTATCCATCGATATTTATACATTACACTACATATACTTATTATTATTATACATTACACTACATATACATATATTTATTACATTACACTACAAAAAATTGGCCAACTGCGTGTTAACCTAAAATGTGTAGGTCTTCTGTAATATTTTCTAAAGTTTAAATAGGGATGTTGCTATAAAATAACAAGCAGGGATTCAAATATGCTTTCACAAAACTCACGATAATACGAAAAAGCAAGTGCAGATTACCTTAAAGCTATAGATGTTACATACAATGTCAATAAAGTCAGTTTATTTTTTAAAAATAGAATAGGGGTGACAAATGAGCTCACACAGTTTACCTGATGGTAAGGGGATGTTGTGGCCCATAGATATCTACATTCATGCAGATGCGTTGTCACCTCTGAGGACTAAAATTGAATGCCTTGTATTGTCATTTACCTAAAATGAACCAATTATCATTTAAAATCCAGATAATAAAATAACAATTTATCTATACATAGATAAATTGTTATTTTACTATCTGGATTGTAAATTCACTGTACGTTCGAGATTAAAAATGGTCAAGCAGTTTAGGAAGGAGAAGAAAAGATATCGAACTAAAATTCGGGGCTAACTTATGATGACTACGAGGGCGAACTAAACCTACAAGCCTTACCGATTGTTTTTATTTACGGATGGTAACATTTCATTGAGACTCTGCAGGGTCAGACTGATTTTATCGCTTTCAGCAGAGTCATCTGGAAAAATAATTCATATTTTAGAACATATCTGTTACAGTACGTTTGTACTGAGAAACACCCAATACGTAATGTTAATAAATTACACAACTTGTTTTGTTGATGGTGGCGTTCGCACTAACAAAAACTGTGTGAAATTTTCAACAGATATTCAAACTTATCTTTCAACATGACAATATTTATACAAATTCGTTTTCAAACATTTTGTTTCTGTAGTTATAAAGATATAATATAGTTGAAATATGTAATGTACAACTGTCAAACATATTTCACTACAACATGTTCTTTGACTATGCAAACGATTTTTGATACATTGACAGAAAGCAGTGTTAAAACATGTTTTTGTGAAAATCGCGTCAGTGCAAACTCACGGTTATACAATGGCGTTTGGCAAAAACCGAAAAGCGGCCCTTTAAAAAAACACCCCACCCCCAATGTGTTACTGAAGTAATAATACAAGCACAGAAATTTTGTTTTATTAAGGGCTGATATTTCAAGGAACACATAATTTATATAATCTGGCTGAACATAATAGTGTAACAATTGAAGTATTCTATATTTTTTAATTTCTATGTGTTGCAATTTTTAATTTTTATATGTTTTATTTTTCATCTTATGCAACTTTAATCTCTTAATAAAAAATCAGCCTTAAAACACGAATGAGGGTAAATAATCTCACGCTCACCAGAACAGAGGTCGAGATCGCTTGTTGGGACAAAACTTATTTAGTAGTTATTTGTTACGTAAATAGTGACAGTCTCATCTTACACATATCTTCGTCATCTTATATCATCATCTTACATAAGTTTTTCGACTTCAAGTGTATGTTTATAAACAAAACAATGCCTCAGCGTTGTATTCTTTAATTTTGTTTTTACATTTTTAAATTTTTAAATATTTAGCGAGCCGTGGTAGCTCAGATGGTTAGCGCTCGCTGTAAATTTCACAATTCTCGAGCAAACCGAGTTCGATCCCCGCCGGCACCAATGAAATTGTTAATTGCAATTTTAAGTGCTGATTTACCACGTGCTCGTCGGTGAAGGAAAACATCGCGAGGAAACCTGCATGTCTGAGAAATAAGAAAAAAATTATTTCGAAGACATGTGAAGTCCGCCAACACGCATTGGGGCAGCGCGGCGGACTATTCCTTGCCCTAAAACCCTCTCAGAAATGAGAGGAGGCCTGTGCCCAGCAGTGGGACGTATATAGGCTGCAACTTTACTTTACTTTTAAATATTTCAACTGAGAAATTTTCACTTTTAGGAATATTCATAGTTTGGTTCATCCATATCTCATCTAATTAATATAAACTACATCTAATATTTCAGAAACAAACATTTATCTCTACACTTTTTTAACTGATAAACTTCTCACACTAAGAAATTTATCAAATATTTCACCCCATTCCTAAGTTTCGCCACCCTGATGGAGAAAAAGTTTTGGGTCCCTCAAAAGTTCTCATTGCCTTAGCTGCTCAGGAGCACTTGCACAAAATTTTGTAATACACAAGAATCGTATAATAATACAAGAGCAATCTTAGGTTAAGCTCTGCCAACAGTGAAATTGTTAAGAGCAATTTTAAGTGCTTATTTGTGTGTACCTTGAATTTGCGGTAAGCGGTAATTTCTTTTTGATTTAATTGAATAAGCGGTAAAGGAAAAATCCTGAAGTGTTTGTCTGAGCATGTGTCATTGCACACTGTTCCGTGACCAGCAGTGGAACATACATAAATACGTAAGTATTCTACTTTTTATGGTGATCTTGGTTTTGACTTTATACCGGATTGCTCTAACAAGCAAATTGTTAATATTGTTATGAGCTTAGGGTTCGTGATAATAAAAACTGCCGATCGAATTACCAAAATTGACCCTTTAATTACCGAACAGCAATTAAAACTAATACACACTAATAATTAATCACACTTAACACTTTAGTTTACTTTATTTCGCTCCTACGTCTTCACTTGTATCGCCAATTCAATACTGGCCCCGGTCGCGGCGCTAAACGGCTTTATATAGGCCTTTTTCACCGAAACATCTAGAATGTTCCAGCAAATACCGGCCCCGACCGACAAGATGTAGCGAATTCGTGTGTGGAGTTTTCAAGAAAGCTTAGTTCTTCTATTCGATACTAGATAGCGCCAGTGGGTGAGTTCTAGAAAGATCTTGACGCTCCTATTTCAGTTGCTTGATACCAGATGGCGCTAATAATCACCCGCCATATACCGGGCGCTAATTATAGCGCGCAACAATATCATGTCTAATATAGAGTCGGCTGTGTTCGCTTTACAAACCCTGAACATACCATGACTACGTTCGAAAACACTGCGGAAAAGATCCCAAAACATCTATCTAATATTATATCTACTTTGGTCAACTTTACTTTCTTAAAACTTGTGTAAATATTATATTTATCCACATATACTACATTATGTCAATATTATGTAAGCAAGGGATCCCTTGCTTAGAAGGCGCACCGACCCGCAAAAGAAAGCTGGCAGCAGTGGATGAGTTATGTAAAACCGAAAACTGCGCGTTGGGAGAGGAATATTGTCAGTTGTGGACCACATAAATGTGATGATATCTATTGACGACTATTTATTATTAAACACTATTTTATTTAAAAAAAATAACTCGCTTTATTTCTTGCTCGTTAACAAATCAATCAATTGAACTACTTTCCTTCAAGAAAAAAGACAATTGAAATTACTTTCCTTCAAGAAAAAAGACAAAAGACAAACAAAGATGCTCAAAGTAACTGAACATTTGTAATTTTCTTAGAATGGTAAGAAATATAACTTAAATTAATCACATTTTTCACATTATTTACAACTAAAGAAGTATAACGTCGGCACAAATACAAAATCGCAGTGATACTTTAGAACAGTACTTGCAATTATGTATTCTTTGATGCAGCTACAGCTTTGTAATAATTCAGCTTTAATACTAATTTTATCAAAGTAACCAAAACATAAAAAAGAGCCCTGGTAGCTCAAGCGATAAGCGCTCGGTGGAAATTTCACAGTACGCGAGCAACCCGGGTACGATCCCCTCCGGTACCAATGAAATTGTTAAATGCAACTTTAAATGCTGATTTTATTACGTGCTTGGCGGTAAAGGAAAACATCTCGAGGAAATCTGCACGCCTGAGAAATAAGAAAAAAATTATTTTATTTTAATATTTAAATATTATTCGAAGATATCTGAAGTTCGCCAACACGCATTAGGGCAGCGCGGCGGACACTTCGTTGCCCTAAAATCCTCTTAGAATTGAGAGGAGACCCGTGCTTTGCAGTGGGACGTATACAGGCTATAACTTTTACCAAACATATATTACCATTGTTAGAAAGTGAGTCGGTGTCCACTCTACGAGATAATTCTGCTTCTAGCTCCAAAACCCAAGAGCACACTAGTCCGGCGTCGATTGTTGCGAAAGCTGGGATATAAGCCGCCATCATCTCTATAAATCCTGAAATATAGCGAATATGTTGAGAAGAATCCAATGAGAATGAGCTTGAATACAAAAACAACGTAGGTATATAAATAATAATTTTAAGTCAGGATGTTCTTCTGGTAAATTTCAGCCAGGACCATAACTGAAACGTACTCTTTATAAACTGCGTCGAAATATCTACGTATAGTATTTGAGATTGAATAATAACGCACAGAACTGGTAAATATATAAAATCAAGTAGTACTCTAAAGTGAGTCACAAAATTATGTCATACATGTGTGCCTGTGCTAGTGCATGCGTGTGGGTGCGTGCGTGCGTGGGTTCACACGCACACGCAGTTCTACCTCGGCTAAGCCAACTTATTAGTGCTACAACCATAATATAGCTGCAGCGGGGCTCGATTACGTAAAATTAGAGAATAATTTTTTCTAGACCGAATTTTGTTTACAGCCACAAGTCTCTACGGAGATTAGCCGTCTATGCAGGACAGGATTATAGTGTAAACGTGTGTGCGCAAGCACAGGTGCTCTATTCCCTCACTCCCACAACACAACAAATAATAGTAGTACGTACGAGAAGTTGCACTCCTTTGATGTTGACTGCTTGCCGACGTTTTAATAGCCTGCATAATTATTATTAATTAGATAAATCACACACGCAAGTTAAATAAAACTTTATCGCCACGCGCGAGTGTCCGTATTACTTTGCATCTTTTCTCCTTCCTACGTCACGGCGAAAAAAGTAAGTAAGTTACTTAGGTAAGTACTTATTCAGACTATGATCGACTGACCATATTTTCGCTAATGTGTAAGTTCTGTGATGCTCAACGCACGTAACTTGCAAGGCCACTTTTCGGGATTCGCGATGTTTGGCTCGGAATAAATAGGTAGATAATGTAAAGAATAAATAAACCCGAAATACGATTCCTAACAGAAATGTGATCGTATTGTACTTAGTTAAAAATCTTGTAAACAACGTTTTAATTTCAGTATTTTGTGTTATTATAACTTAAAATATTTTAATTCCAAAGACAAGTATAGGTATGTAAGTAGGTACTTGGATAGTGAAGTAAATTTCAACTAAGTTTTGTAATAAAGTTTTATTACTTCCGTCGTTAAATTATTACTTAATTTTTTTTACAAACAAATATGAATTAAATTCACCGTTCATTATCCTTCGGTAACTTAAAAATGATATATCTGAATCCTTTTTTGCTCACTAAGCATTCGTTTGCGCAACAATTATAGTAGGAACGACGTTTTGCCATACCTACACTGTTCTGTGTAACCATATTGTAATATAGGTACATATATATTATTTTGAAATTACGTTAAAACTTTTTTAACTATTTTATCCTACAATTAAATATACTAAATGAAACCTTTTTAAAAAATAACTATTTACGTAAACAGCGTTACAAAACTTTAGCATTCAATCACCTAGAACGCGTTAGCTCCGACTGCGTAATGCGTATGTGGCTCGGGGCGCCTTGCGATAGCAGGTAGCAAGAGTGACAGAGGCCTGCCCACAGTCCGCTACGTTAGCAATCCGACACGACCGGAGATTAGGCGTAGGACCAACGGCTTCATATGTTTTCCTAGGCACATGTATAAAACAACGCCGACTTTCCGACTTCGGGTTGCCACTGATAATTTATGGACAGAAATACCCAATAACTGATATTGACTCAACACGAGATTCAAATTCAGGACCACATTATCAACAGTTGCATATACGACCACTAGACCAATGGGGCAGTCGTGATAATAGAGATTTGTGGCCGGTGAGCGGCTAACACTCCGAGTGTAGTTCGGAGAAGTTCTATATATACTGTCTATGATTCGGAATGTTGATAGCGTGATATAAACTTCGGTGTATTTCGCTTGTGGCGCGACGACAGCGCCGCTACATCACCCCCTGCTCAGACCGGAGGTCGATAGTGCAGCCTCGTTGCCGACGAATGTGCAAGTGCCAGGAGATTGCCTTGTAGTCTGCGGTGAGTCGAGAAGAAGGCAAGTAATCTGCGAGAGTGCCGTGAAGCAGAGGCGAGCAGTAAGGCTCAGAGCCGTGCCGAACACTGTATAGCGCAGAGAGTAGCTTGAAGGAACAGGAAGCATTATTATTCCAGTGCTGCGATGAACCTTGTGAAGCTAGATGGCTTGCAGGATAAGAAGACTGCAGTTTATATCTGCTCGGGAGCGAATGGGTGGGGTATTCTATGATGATGATGAAGCTTGAAGTTTCCGAAGGTTGTTTGGTTGCGTGTTCAGATCACGTCGGTTAGTCACCACTGTGGCCAGTGAGGAAGGAAAAGGGGAGATCTCTCGCCGGGCAAGGTGTTCTACCCGGGGAGCGGCTAACACTCCGAGTGATAGTTCGGAGAAGTTCTATATATACTGTCTATGATTCGGAATGTTGATAGCGTGATTTAAGCTTCGGTGTATTTCGCTTGTGGCGCGACGACAGCGCCGCTACAGACTTAACATCAATCTCAACATTAAACTTTACGACTCCGAGTGAGTGTAAGAGACTGGCGATAAAAAGAAAAGGGGACATTAGTGATGATCAAAGCAAGACTAAGACCAAGGCAATCCTGGTATCGGTCTCGGTCGCGCTTGTCCGGTCTTGGTTTTGCACCTTCAGCCTGTTACTCCAGTCTTTTATAGGTATAAATTATAAATGATCAACAATAATTAATATCTATAATCAATTAAATTTTATTTCACAATAATCAACTTTATCGTATTGGTTTTAATATTAAATAAATATTTTCATATTAAATATAAAATGATTTGTACCGATAAAAACATATTGAAATTATGATAAATATCCTCATAATATATCCTATTTCCAACGGAAGTAAACTATTTTTTAGTTTAGTCTAGCACTTTGGTCTTGCTAGTATATATATATATATATATATATATATATATATATATCTTGGTCTTGAAAAATCGAAAGACCAAGACCGATTTCGCTCATCACTAGGCGAGTTCTACAAGGTGATATACATATGAAGTAGTTCGGAAACTTCGATATTGTTTAAGGCTTCGGCCCGTTTCGCTTGTGGCGACGGCGCCGCCGCAAGGCTGAATTACATCTCTTACAAAATTGATAAGGTGGACCGATGACCGGACCTACATATTGATTTACCATGCGAGATTCAATAGCTTCAGCTTAATCATCTTTTGATTTGCGCCCTTTTGTTTTGTATACATTCATTAAATATGAGCTTTTTTTAAGATTTTTTATTTGCCTGACAGTGGTAGAACCACACGGCAGCTTTTGCTGTTGTTGTACATCTTAAGGGCCAAACGGGGTGGTACCACGACTTCACAGAAAACCAGCGTGAAGTAGCAGCTTTGCTTTTTCGTTTCGTCTGATGAGTTTAGGTAGCCGGAGGCCCAATCCCCCCCCCATCAACATGGTATCGGAATCAAATGAGATACTACCCCAGGAGGGTACCAGCATCCCTGGTAATAGAGAATCCCTCGCTGAGCATCCACCACCAAGCTACACTACTTCTGATTGTGGGTGCTAAGGCTGCCCCGCGTATCCTGGGGGTTGGGGGACAAAACTCCGCTCAACACAAAAACTGCTCAGGGCAAGGTGAGCAAAAGACCAAGGCGACTCCTGTCACAACCTAAACGCCGTCTACTTTTGGAGTCTACCATTTGGAGCCGGCGAAGCCCGTCTTGCTCTTTCTGACCGAGACGCAGGTGTCCTCTCCGAGTGATACTTAGTATCTTTCCTACCCGGGGGACAAATTGGAACACTCCTTTGTGCTTCGGGCTGGAGTTTGCGTATACGTCAGATAGGACATTTGTTCTCGACGCCGCGGCAGTCTTGAAGGTTCTTACCTGTCCATCCTTTGGCTACGCGTAAACACCGACGACCATTCGCGCATCTACGAGTGCCTCTAAAGGTCTCATAGCGGTAATACCGAAACATACCGACTCATCAACCACGTCCAAATGGCTACAGATTCCTTGCTATAGCAGATTCCATCCGCAGAGGTCTTGATCCTTGGAAATTTTAACGCCCATCACGCCGAATGGCTCGGTCATGTTTAACCGATCATGCGGGGAGATCTGTTTATGACTGCCATGGCATATGGTCTGACACAACTGGTTACTTCGCCTATACAGATTCCAGATGTGGAGGATTACGCACCTTCCCTGTTGAACCTTCTGCTGACTTCTCATCCGGACGGATATCAGGTCTCCGTCAACGCCTCTCTTGGCTCCTAGGACTGTTGTCTAGTCCGGAGTGTGGTGCCACTCACGCTACTGGCAGCCGCCGTTCTTGGCACTATCGGTCGGCCGATTGGGATATGATGCGGTCGTTCTTTGCATCCTACCCTTGGAGGCGCGTTTGCTCCTCGCCGGAAGATCCCAAAGTTGTTGCTAATTTTGTCGCTTATGTGGTACTTCAGGGTATCGATGTTTTTATTCCTTCTTCTGAAGTGCCAATCGGAAGCAGATTCCAGCCATTGTTTGTTCGCTCCTGTAAAATAGCATCACGCTATTAGCGGGAGTGCTACCAGGCCTGTGCTGACGCATCAACGACCCGGGATGTAAACACCAGCGCCTTAAAAAAAGGAAGTATAATTCCGCCTCCAGGTACTTCAAAGGAATCATTGCTAAGGCAAAGTCAGTGCACATAGGCAGACTCTGCGAGAAACTAGTTCACGTTCCTTCAGGAATCCGTGCATTCTCTCGACAAGACTGTCCAAGGAAACTTCTGCCAGTGATCTCTCTCATCTCTGCATAGGGAAAACGACTCGCTGGCCCATGCCGCAAAGAAGAAAGCTTTTTAAGCTTAGCCAGGCTCTTTCTTTGCGTCCAATTCGACCCTCGACGACGTGGGGAGCACACCGCCTACCATCTCGGGGTGTGAGTGCTCCATGCCGGATGTAAGGTTCACACAGCGCTCGGTTCGCGAAGCACTGCTCTATCTCAATGTCAACAAGTCGAGTAGGCCCGACGGAATCCCCCCAATTGTGCCTACGACAAGTGCTCTAAAGTTGGCACTGGATCTAATGCGTCTTTTCTGGTACTCCTACTCCCTAGGCGTAGTCCCAAATTCATGGAAGACAGTTTACGTGCACCTGATCCCTAAAAAGGAAACCACTCTGATCCATCCATTTACAGGCCTATCACCATCACCTTCTTGTTAATAACGGAGTCGATTAACTACCAGCTCACGCGGTATCTTGAGGGGCCAGCTGCACCAGCTGATTAGTGACCGCCAGTACAGTTTCTGTCGGGGTCGCTCAGCTAGTAATTTTGTTTACCTAACACACCGATGGGCGCAGGTGGTCGAGTCTAAGGGGGAGGCCTTGGCGGTTAGTTTGGACATAGCGAAGGTTTTCAATCAGGTTTGGCACAAAATGCTTATTTTGAAGCTTCCATCTTATGGCCTTCCTGAGAAGAGATCAGAGCATCAAGGTGTTCCACAAGGCTGCATGCTATCATCAACACTATTTCTTTTACATATCAATAATATGTTGCAAACTGGTAACATTCATTGCTATTCAGATCATAGCACTGGTGATGCTCTATACTCTGGCCATACCAATATTTCTCGGGAAAACGTGCTGAGTACCAGAACACACTTGCGTCAGAAGTCGAGTCTTTGCTGAACAAAGTCTCGGATTGGGGGCGACTATATTTAGTCCAGCTCAATCCCCAGAAGACACAAGTATGCGCATTTATCACTAAAAAGAATCGCATCTCCTCAGTTTCAAGGCACTGCCCTTGTTGCCTCAGCCAATATCATAATTCTCTGCATCGACAATTTGAATGATATGCAGTTTCGTCTTCACTTGGAGAAGAAGGCCAAATTGGCCTTCAAAAGGTTTGGCATGCTCAAGATCATTAAATAAAATTTAACGCCACATATTTAACGCCTGTAACATATTTACACTTGCTTAAACTTGTAATTTCATATTTAAGTAATCAAACAAAGAAAGTTATTATCAATGGTAAATGTTCTTCAGAGTCACCTGTACTAATGAGTGTTCCCTAAGGATCAATTCCCGGTTCATTCCTATTTCTAGTCCATATGAATGACTTACATGATATATTATTATTTACTGAGGATACTTCCATGAGTTTCAAACTTAAACAGTAATCATTTAAATGTGACGAAGTGAATGATGCTATCAAAGTTAGTGCATTGTTTTAATATTTCATTATGTAATCGGAATCTACATTTAAACATCAATAAAACTAAATGTATAAAATTTACAACACTGAATGTTAAAAATCTGAATAACAATGGTGAAGAACTGAGCCCTGTTGAATCAACTACTTTCTTGCCATCACTCTCGATGCAAAACTTCAATGGCCCCCTCATATAACTAAGCTGGCAAGCATACTAAGCTCTGCAGCTTATGCTGTAAAAAAATTAGAAGTCTCACTAGTGTCGAGACAGCTAGAGATTTTACTATGGGGAAATTATTTTTTCAATTCTAATTTGTTTTGGACTTTTATTTTGACAAACATCAAACAACATTATGATTCAAGCACATATCAACTGACTGTCACTGTTTGACTAAGATAACTATTCCATACAAATAGATACAGTTTAAACTGCTTGCGGTACTGATGACCAAATAGAGCTAATAGAACTAATAGAATGAACTAGTTCACTGTCCGAAATGAACAAGTACAGAGCAATCTTTAAAAAGACCGAGCAGGCACAAGACTATTAAATATGTACCTATTTTTACCAAATTACTTAATTTGCTGAAATTTATAGATTATAGGTAAGGTAAGCACTAAACATCTGCAAATGTAAGTTTCTAATCACTAAATAATTTATTATGTGATACAACAACAAATTGTGATAAAGCTTTTTGGATTTTTTCTCTTACTTGTGCTGTGAAACCTTGGATCCTGCAAAATTTTATGATTCTAGGTTGAAGCACACTATAGGTTTTGATGAGTGACAGAGAATATCAAAATATTTGACATAAATAACCATATCTTTTGATTGTGTTGACTCAGAAGCTTAATTTTTTGTACACTTTCAAGGCACCATAAACTTAAGTTTCTTATATTAATTTCATGTCATATCTCTGCCCACTGCCTGGATAGATGGACCGATGGAAAGATAACAGTGATCTTATAAGGGTAATGTTTTACTTTTAAAGTACGGTTTCCCAAAATGGAGTATTTCAATTGAATAGTCAAGTTTCTCATGCCGTATTATAAACATTTATCATAATTATCTATTAAATGTTACATTAAAGCTAAAAACTACATAGGACATAATTTTTACATAGTATTCTAAATTATTACAAACTAAATTTTATATGGATAACTTTTAAATGCTGTTCCATACCTTCAACATCAAAACATGGGTCCTGGGAAGCCTCCTCCAGTATAGAAATCACATATGAAAGGACTATATCATCAATTACGTTTAAATCTGCAGAAGGGATGTTTTTAGTTATAAACTGAAATAAACTCGCCTTAACAAAAGATTCTTGCTGTGCTATAGAGCTCATTTTTATCTAAAACAATGAAAATATGTTAAAACACCGAAAAATATCATATATGCGAACTGATACGCGTTACGCGTCGATAAACAAAGTAATTTTTTACAAAGTAAGAGAATTTTGTACATATTAAACCTTTAAAATAAATACCTATTTGTTTTTAACTATAGGAACAGAAGGTATTAATAAAGTTTTAATTAATTTTCTTTGAGAAAATCCAGGTACAGTACGGAAAACGACAGAAAATCAATACAAATTATACTTTTTATGTACAGCCTTTGTTGTTCTACGGCACTGCTTGAACCCATACAGCCATGAGTAATTTTCATTAATAAATTAAAATGTTTAAGATTAATTTCAAAAAATAATTTTTAAGTGCTTAAATAATATCGTATATTCAATAAATTATATTTAGTATTTAGTAGTAATTATATTTTATATTTATTTTATTATACTAAAATACCCAAGTTATAATCGTTAGTAGTGTTGCCAGAGCCAAATTTTCAATGAGGGCATCCGGGTGTTTTTCAAAAAGTTTGTTCGTTGCGTAATGGAATTCCACCAAAATAAAAAATGTATTTAGTAATAAATATGTTATTTATCACTCGTTATAATTAAGTAATTAATAGAACATATTATCGTTTATTATTGACTTTTTTTGTGGATTTCGTGTTGTGACACTTCTATTTCACACTCTTTACACTAAAAACAGTTATTATTTTGCGGAGGACTTTGACGTGCGTGTTTACTTTGCGATCACCGGAAACGGAAAAAAAGATGAAACACCTAAAGATAAAGAAAAAGAGAAACCTAACAATAACAATATACACATAGCCACCCTAAACACACTTTCATTGAGGACTGCAGAAAAACTTCTCGAATTAGAGATAGCTTTGGGTAATATTAAATGGGATATTATTGGTATTGAGTGAAGTAAGACGAATAGGAAACTGCATCGAAGAGTATGACGACTACATTCTGTACTATATCGGTGAAACCAAGGGTCAGTATGGAGTGGGATTTATGGTGAAAAAACATCTAAAGAAACAAATCATAGAGTTCAAAGGCATATCCGAAAGAATAGCTTTACTAAATATACAGCTACAAGGCTATAAAAACAAGTGGACTATAGTACAGATATACCCGCCAACAGGAGCAGCAGACGAAAAAATAAAAGATGATTTCTACAACCAACTTACAACTACACTAGAAACTGCCCATAAAAACGATATTGTCATGGGAGACTTTAATGGGAAAATAGGTAAACAAAAACATGGTGAAGAGACAGTAATAGGAAATTATGGCATAGGAAAAAGAAGCAAGAACGGCAAGAGAATTGTAAATTTGGCCCTGGAGAATAACTTAACCATACTAAATAGCGTTTTCAAGAAAAGAAAAACCAAGAAGTGGACTTGGATATCGCCAGATGGAAATTACCGAAATGAAATTGACTTTATAACTAGTAATCAACCCAAGTTTTTCCGAGATGTTAGTGTAATAAATAATTTCAATTTCAATAGCAACCATCGTATGGTCAGAGCAGTACTATTTCACAAACAACAAAAAGAAAGAACGAAAACACTTTCACCAGAGTGAAAATACCTGCAAGACTGATACAACGTCTCAAAGCAACGTAACAACCGGAGAAATAGACAAAATACAAGAAATTTACAACATAGAAACAAACGATATTTATAGAAAAAAGAACAAATCAGTAAAAAACAAAAATACACTGAGCTCGAAAACAATAGATCTCATTCAAAAACGGAAAGAACTGCTTAAAAATAGAAGAAATAAAACAACATTACATGAAATTACTGAACTAAGTAAGGAGATAAGTCGCAACATAAAACAAGATAAGTCGAATAAAAGAATAAAATGTATCCAAAAACACATTACAAAAACAGGAGGTATCAATAAAGCACTTAAAGAATTAAAAGAAACAACGCTATGGGTCCCGAAAATGAAAAGCAAAAACAATAAGGACGAAACAAGAAGACAGCCAATTTTAAAGATAGCGACAGACTATTATCGGAAATTATACTTTACCGAAAATACCTTAAAATTAAACATAAACCTTGAAGACAAAACAGAAGAAATCCCTCCGATTCTTGAAAGGGAAGTTCAGCATGCGATAGAAACACAGAAAAACGATAAAGCTCCTGGACCTGATCATATAACCAATGAGATGATGGAAGCTACATTGCCAGAAACAACAAAAAAACTAACTAACTTGTTTAATCTTATCCTAAACACAGAATCCATACCTTCACAGTGGACAATAAGCACTATAATACTCATCTTTAAGAAAGGAGATAGATCAGACATAGGAAACTATCGCCCAATAAGTCACATGTTCAACATATACAAGGTGTTCTCAAAAATAATACTGAAGCGCATTACCAAAAAACTTGAAGAACAACAATCAAGAGAACAGGCTGGATTCCGATCGGGCTTTGCAACAATTAACCACATACATGTGGTAAAACAGCTCATTGAAAAATGTCAAGAATACGATTATCCATTATACATGGTATTTGTGGACTATAACAAAGCGTTTGACAGCCTGGAACATCAGTACATTTGGGAAGCCCTGAAAAATCAAGGAATAGAAAATAAATATATAAGGATAATAAAAAATGTATATTCCAACAGAAAAGCACGAATCAAACTAGAAGCAGAAGGGGAAATATTTCCAATACACAGGGGAGTGAGGCAGGGAGACCCACTCTCACCAAAACTTTTTTCATCCGTGCTAGAGGAAGTCATCAGGAAAATGGAATGGGACAACATAGGGATTAACATAAATGGAACACATTTAATTCATTTAAGATTTGCAGATGACATAATACTTATAACAGATAACTCGGAAAGCCTTAAAAACATGCTCCAAGATTTATCATGTGAAAGTAAAAAGGTGGGACTAACAATAAACAAAACAAAGACAAAGATAATAACGAACAGATCCCAAATAAGTATCTCAGTATCATCATCATCATCACAGCCCTTCACAAGTCCACTGCTGAACATAGGCCTCCCCCAAGTAATGCCACAAAGCACGGTCCTGAGCCACCTGCATCCATCGACTTCCTGCATATCTTACCAGGTCGTCACTCCATCTAGTGGGGGGTCGCCCTACACTACGCCTACCGGTACGAGGCTGCCACTCGAGAACCTTTCTTCCCCATCGGTTATCGGTTCTTCGAGCTATATGGCCGGCCCATTGCCACTTCAGCTTACTAATCCGTTGGGCTATGTCGGTCAATCTGGTTTTACTGCGGATATCCTCATTTCTGAGTCTATCACGCAGAGAAACTCCGAGCATAGCCCTCTCCATAGCTCGCTGAGCGACCTTGAGCGTCCTCATACGGCCAGCAGTGAAGGACCACGTCTCTGATCCGTAAGTCATCACTGGCAACACGCACTGGTTGTACACTTTAGTTTTCAGAGATTGAGGTATACCTGACGAGAAGATATGTCGTAATTTCCCGAACGCTGCCCAGCCGAGTTGAATCCGTCGATTGACCTCTCGGTCGAAGTTGGACTTACCTAGTCGGACTATTTGTCCCAGGTAAACGTACTCGTCAACAACTTCGAGCATAGTGCTCCCAACAACTACCGGCATAGGTGTGACATGGACATTAAACATAATCTTTGTTTTGTCCATGTTCATCTTAAGACCTATCCGTTGGGAGGCACTATTGAGGTCATTGAGCATAGTGCTTAAGTCCTCCAGCGATTCTGCCATAAGGACTATATCGTCGGCAAATCGAAGGTGAGTGATGTACTCGCCATTGATGTTAATACCGTATCCTTTCCAGTCCAGTAGCTTGAAAACGTCTTCCAAAACAGCGGTGAAGAGTTTCGGGGATATAACGTCACCCTGTCTTACACCTCTCTGCAGTTGGATAGGTTTCGAGCTCTGGTTCTGTACTCGGATAGCCATCGTAGCCCTACTGTACAAACACTTCAGCACTTCGATATACCGACAGTCAACTTGGCACCGCTGAAGGGACTGCAGCACCGCCCAAATTTCGACGGAATCAAAGGCTTTCTCATAGTCCACATACGCCAGGCAAAGTGGCAAATTGTACTCTTCAGTCTTCTGTACAATCTGCCGCAGGGTATGTATGTGGTCTATGGTACTGAAGCCTTTTCGGAAACCGGCTTGTTCGGGAGGCTGGAAGTCGTCGAGTCTGCGTGCGAGACGATTCGTAATGACTCTCGAAAACAGCACGTAGACGCGGCTCAGAAGGGAAATCGGTCTGTAGTTCTTCAAGAGAGCGTTGTCGCCTTTCTTAAAGAACAAGACCACCGCACTTCTGCTCCACGCCTCTGGAGTAGTGCCACCATGGAGGACGGAATTGAAGAGCTTCTGAAGGACTTCAAGTACCGGTGTTCCACCCGCTTTCAGAAGCTCCGCTGTAATTCCATCCTCGCCTGGGGCCCTGCCGTTTTTAAGGTGCTGGAGAGCCATTCTAATCTCGCTCAGACTGACGTCCGGGATATCATCGGAATAGTGTCGGGTAAGCCTTGCTCTTGGATCGTTACTCACACTTGCATGTGGCTCCAACGATGATGTGGTACAGCTGCCCATAGAACCTCTCAATCTCACTCAAAATCTCAGGTGTCCCGGAAACGATGCTGCTAAACTCAGCCTTCAGCTTTGACAGTTGGCTTTTTGTGGCAGACAGATCTCTGGCAAAGACTTTGGAGCCCTGGTTCCGCTCGATCGCTTCTTTAATACGAGCAGTATTAAAGTTGCGTAAGTCTCGCCGCATGCATTTGGAGATCTGTCTGTTCAGTTGCCTGTATGCTGTCAAATCTGTTGACGATTGCAGCCTCATCTCCCGTCTAACAGCCATGAGATTAAGAGTGTGATCGGAGAGTTTTTGTGTTCTTCTGCGGCGGGTCTCGCAGAACTTAGCTCCGACCGCATGGACAGTTTCCACGAGCTTGTCATTCATATCGTCCACTGCATTGCAATCTTGTAGGCACTGAAAGCGGTT